ACTTGGGGTGGGGGTTCGTAATAGCCCTGAGGCTCAGTGGGACGAGGCAGGCAGGTCCTGAGGGGCAGGGGCCAGGGGTCAGGAGCCAGGCAGGACCTGGTGGGCAACCCACCCTCGTTCTCTGTACCTCCTGGAGGCCCAGGAGTGCCCCATTTCCCCTCCCACACCCCAACAGGCAACATGGGTGGGCAGGAAAGGGAGAAGGCAGCTGCCCTGCCACCGCACTTGCAGACGGGGCTGAATTTCCACAGGGCCTATGTTCCAAGGGCACAGGCATCATCAGGGAATGGGAATCTTTGGTGAAGGGGATATGATAGGGAGGAGCCTAATGGCCAGCGAGGGACCTCTCTGAGGAGACATCTAAGGCTACTACACAATGGGACTGGCCAGCAGGAAGACGTCCAGGCAGCAGATGGCATCGCCAGTGCAAAGGCTCTGGGACAGGAATGTGCACGTGATAATCAGGGAGTAGGGAGGCAGCTGGTGGGCCTGGGACAGAATCAGGGTGGATATCACAGGAGATGAGGCTCCACGGCGTCTGGAAGTGACTGCTTTGAGCATGGGACCCTGACCAGGAGCAAAACAGGGATGCCTTTCAGCGTTCTGAGTGAGCAGTGCCAGGGCATTTTTCAAGGATCCCTCTGGCAGCCCACTGGAGTCAGGGTGGGAGTGAAGACTGGCTGGGGACCATGGTGGTGGCCCAGAGAGGTATGGTGCCCAGACTGGGTGGTGGCTGTGCAGGTTGTGAGCAGAGGCTGGAGCAGATGGACTGATGAGGTTTGAGGTGAGCTGGTGCGGGGGTAGGGGAAGTGGTCCAGGGCAACTGTGGATTTCAGCTTGAGCAGCTGGGCGGGTGGATGAGCTTGCAGTGAGACTGGTCTCGGTTTTGGCCATGTGGAGTTGAACATCTGAGGGTGAACTGGGTGAGGAGGCTGGTGTGCAGGGGTCTGGGGCTGCGGGTGATGCTTCTGGCCTGAGGGAAGGGGGATGGGGTGAATGGAATAGCAGCCTGCCTTGAGCCTGGAGAAGCAGAGACCAGGCTGGCCAGGCTGGCATTCCTGTGGATGCCACGCAGAAGGTGAGCACCTCCTATGACAGCTGGGTTTGTGCCCCATCTGCAGTGGTGGGGGACGGGGTTACCACCATGGATTGGAATCTGGCCCTATACAGGTCCCTGTCAATCTCTCCATGCCACAGCACCCCCAGCTCCACAGCAAAGGTCTGGACACCTCAACTCGTCCCTTCTGGTCCTCCCACGGTGTAGAAGATCAACGCAGAGCCTCAGCCGGAGTCTACAGCCTTCAGGGGTGGGCTCCTGCTCTGCCCCACCTCTGCTGGTCCCCATCTGCTCCTGTACCCAGGGCTGGGCACCCAGCAGGAGCAGCAGGAGTCCCTGGTGTCCACCCCACCTAGCCCCTACCACCTCCCGTCCCCTCTATCCAAAGAACACAATGGTAGCAAAGAAGTGACTTGAGAAGCACTTGGATACAAATTAAATGCCCAAAAGGCGCATTCCAAAGTCCCACGGAGTTGGAGTAGCAGGACACGGTGACCTGGAGGAAAGTGAAGGCCCAGCTGGGCTTCAGGTTTTCTCTGCAGAACCCCAAGGCGATAGCCCGGCGGCCCCTGACACCCAGCATCAGAGATGTCCCTGGCCTGACACCCAAGGTGCCCGAGTGTCATCTGGCAGGGCTGGCTTCGCAGGGAGGGGAGCCCGGGACAGGGATCCCCGCCCCCAGGCCCAGGAACCCCGGGGTCGGTCTACAGACCCCAGGCCCCACCCTCCGCCTGGCCTCCATTGGGAAGAGCTGGGCGGGCGAGATGGAGCGCGCAGCCCACCCCCAGGGCCGGAGCTCTGCCAGACCCCGCTCCGGGTGTCGCTGGGGCCGCGGCGGCCGCACAACGCGCTCATTCACCGCACGGCCGCGGCTGGGCGGCCGCTGGGAGCCCCGCGTCCCCGCCCCTGGGCCTGAGCGCGTGCGCCGCGACGACCGCGCGGCTGCCGGGCCTGGTGAGTGCGTGGGGCGCGCGTGCTCAGCGGTGGGGGCGCGGGGCGGGGCCGCGCGTGCATGGGGGTTCGCAGGCGGTGGGGGGGGGGGCACCGCGCCGGATGGGGAGCAGGGCCGAGCGCTCCTGAGGGTGAAGGAGAGTGCGGGTCAGGGGCAGAGGCCGGGATCGCTGGGCTGGGGGCGCGGGGCGGGCACTGGAGAAGTGCCTCTCGGGAGAAGCTGCAGTTGTGGCCAGGACGAAGGGGACGCAGGTGCTAGAGGGTGAGGGCCAGGGCCTCCTCTTCTCCAGACCTCGGAGCACGCCCACCCGCGGGAGGGTCACTGGGAATAAACTTGGGTCCGGTCCCAAAGCCCTGTCAGCCGGGCTTCTTTCCACGGGTGGGAGGCAAGGATACCAAGTCTCCTTTCCCAGTAAATGGACTCCAATGTAAAAGGGCTGATTTAAAGACAAAACTGAGGAAGTAAGTGTGTGGCACAAAACTGGCCACGGGATCAGACCGGAGGACGGTTCAGGCAGGTCCCAGTTGCTGGGGCCAAGCAGGGAAGGAAGGTGTTGGCAGCCCTGTGCGTGCACTGGCTTGGGGCAGAATATGCTACCCACTCTCTCTGGACCTCTGGGCACTCAGCCTTTGGGCCTGACCACAGGGCAGCACCAGCCACTGCCTCAGTGCTCAGAGAAACTGAGGCAGAGACACGTGGGAGGCGGGCCAGTCAGACCCCAAAGATCCTATAATGATGACCTCACCTGCTTTCGACACCCAGCCTAGGTGGGGACTAAAAGGGCCTGAGGCCCAATGCCTACAGAAGACCCCTGAGGCCAGGCCCCTGCGGTGTGGCTGAGGCTGTTCCTGAACTATGCTTGCCTGCCTAAAATCTCACCATGGGTCCCCACAAGCCAACCTCTGGACACCTCCACCACCCTTCCTGAGGGGGAAGGGCCACCTCCCACTCGAGGTTTTTCTGTGGCCCCAGGTGACACTGCCCACCCTACCCTGCATGCAGGCATCTGCACCAGGCGCCCACCCCTGCTCCAGCACCCAGGTCCTCCCTGGCTCCTTTAGGGAGACCTTGAGGGAGCAAGCCCAGCCCCCTGGGTCTCCCCAGTTCTCCAACAACCCTTCCGGTGGCTGTACCCAGAGAGGTCCTTATCTGTCCCAGGGAGGGGCCTGAGGCCCGGCATGACTGCCTTACCCCGCCCACTGGCCAACTGCTTCTTACAGCACAGCTCCCAACTGCTGGGCAAACAGCTGCTTCCCAGGGACCACTGGGGCCCAGGTTAGGCAGGGGTGGGAGCGAGGGCTCAGACTCTGGAGGACAGGGCAGGGGCTCTGAGGAGAAATGAGACTTGGAGAGGGCATCCCAGGTGGAGGCTACGGGGGTACGAGACCCTGGAGCCCGTTCAGCCCTGTCCACATCTCACACTTTCGGTGTCTCCTACTCTGTGGCCACCCCAACTACATTCCACTCCCATTTCACCTCCAAATGGGAACTGCAGCCCAGTCTTCCCTGGGCCGACCCAGGGCTGTGGGGAACTAGCAGGGCTTGGCAGACGGCTTCCACAAGGAGGTACCTCTGGTGGAGTGAGTGTCCAGGGACTCCTCCCTCTGGGGCTCTGCCCCATCAATGTCTGTGTCCATGTCCTGGCGGAATGAAGCCCCAGCACATCAGCTGGTTCTGCGAGACCCTTGGCTTCAATCCCACGCAGACAGGAGAAATAGAGCTTGTGACTTCTGTTCCCAGGACCAAGTCAGGCTGCCCAAGGTGCCAGGGCCAGCTTGGCCTTCCAGCCCCACCTGAGGGACCCACCACAGCCTCCTGGCCTCCCTTGGGATGGGAGAGCACTGAGGCCTGCAGCCCCTTGTTACACTCACCCTCTGGCCACAGGTGCCCGGTGCAGGCTCCCAAGCAATACTCACTGTCAAAGTGGCAGGGGGCGAGGGGGGGACCTGAGGCTCCCAAGGAAGTTTTTTTTTTTTTTTTTTGAGACAGAACCGGCCAGGCATGGTGGCTCACACCTGTAATCCCAGCACTTCTGGAGCCCGAGGCGAGTGTATCACGAGGTCAGGAGTTCAAGACTAGCCTGACCAACATAGTGAAACCCTGCCTCTACTAAAAATACAAAAATTATCCGGGCGTGGTGGTGGGCGCCTGTAGTCCCAGCTACTCAGGAGGCTGAGGCAGGAGAATCGCTTGAACCTGGGAGGCGGAGGCTGCAGTGAGCTGAGATTGTGCCACTGCACTCTAGCCTGGGCGACAGAGCAAGACTCCGTCTCAAAAAAAAAAAAAAAAAGAAAAAGAAAAACAGACAGATTTGCAGGCTGGAGTGAAGTGGTAGAATCATACCTCACTGCAGCCTGGACCTCCCGGGCTCAAGCGATCCTCCTACCTTAGCTTCCCAAAGTGCTGGGCCAGTGATAACATTTGTTTTTGAGACAGGTTCTTGCTCTGTGGCCTAGATTAGGGTGTAGTGGCACAATCATACCTCATGGCAGCCTCAAACTCCCACGCTCAAGTCATGCTCCCACCTCAGTCGCTTGAGTATCTGGGATACAGGCACACACCACTACACCCAGCTAATTTTTTACTTTTGAGTTTTGTAAAGGTTGGAGGGCAGGGGTTGGCCAGGTGCGGTGGCTCATGCATGTAATCCCAGCACTTTGGGAGGCCGAGGCGGGCGGATCACGAGGTCAGGAGATCGAGACCATCCTGGCTAACATGGTGAAACCCTATCTCTACTAAAAATACAAAAAAATTAGCTGGGCATGGTGGCGGGTGCCCACAGTTCCAGCTACTCGGGAGGCTGAGGCAGGAGAATGGTGTGAACCTGGGAGGCGGAGCTTGCAGTGAGCAGAGATCACGCCACTGCACTCCAGCCCGGGCAACAGAGCAAGACTCCGCCTTGAAAAGAAAAGAAAAGAAAAAAGAAAAGGTGAGGAGCATCTCACTATGTTGACCAGGCTGGTCTTGAACTCCTGGCCTGAAGCAGTCCTCCTGTCTTACAAGAGTGAACCACCGTGCCTGGCCAATAATTCCTTTTTAAAAAGCAGCTCACCCTTATTGTCATGTGTGGGCTTAATTGAAGTTCACTTTCAGAAATCATTTATCTTCACACCAGCCGTATAAAGCAGGCACTGCCGGTCCCAGTCTATGGTAGAGGGGAGGGCAGAGGAGCCGTGAGGGTGACCAGGCACTGCGGGTCGGCGCTGGGTCTGGGCAGACCAGGACTCCTGCCCCTGGCCAGTCATGGCATCTTGACCCCCGGCAGCCCTTGCTGTTGGCAGTGAGCACCACACACAGGGCTCACGCGAGCACATACATATCTGCACACACCAGCAGCCTTGTGTTGAGCTGGCTGTCAGCCTCCACCCTGCTCCAGCTTGAACCGGGCTGGCTCCTTGCAGGACCAGGAGGGTGTCCACCAACTGGACACGGAGACCAACCCTCCCTCAGCCCTGCCTGGGTTTAAACCCCAGACCCCAGAGCTGAAGGGTTGCCTGTGCTCAGCCCCTGAGCCCCTGCCTCCCGCTGGTCCCTAAGCCCTCCAGACAGGGCTGCAGAGCCACAGCTGCAGCCGCTCCTGGGATGCTGGGAGCTCATCAGAGGCCCACACAGCTCTAACTACTACGAGCCTGATTACAGTTCAACTCCCGGATTCACCGATCAGGTAACATGGCTGGATAAACCCGTGACTCAGCAATCTGTAAGTAAATAATTCAACCGCAGAGCCCAGTGCACAGACCACTGCCTGCAGGTCGGCGCCAGAGCCACCACCTCCACTCTCCCAGCCGCTCACGGGAGCCAGAGGGCCCTGCGGTCCTCAGTGGTCTTGCCAGCCCCTCGCCATCCCAGGGCCCTCTGCGCCTGTGAGGACTCCCTCAGGTAAGAACAATCCTGGGCCTAGATCTCAGTCATATCAGAGGGGGGCGTGGGAGCCGAGGCCAGAAATGCCCTGGACTTGTGATTTCTTAGGGGCACCCTCAGGCTCAAGGCAGGTGGCCCTACTGTACACACCTGGACCCCAGGGGCTTGGGGTGGGCTTCAGGGCATCCAAGGACCCAGTGTGGTGGGGTCTTCCACGGACGGGGACACAACTCTTGCAATGTTGCCTGAGGGCCAGGACCCCTGCTCTGGGCCCCAGGGATACTGTGCCCAGCCTGCGTGTGTCAACCTACCAGGCTTGACCCACTCCTCCAACACACCCCCCAGGAGACTGCAGCTCCCACACCCTGGGCCAGCGTGCAAATAGCAGGCTTAGCCCAGGCTGCAGGGTGTCCTGGGGACCTGGTGCCCTGGGAGCAAAGTCTTTGCCTAACATTGCTGAGAAGTTTTTAAAGCGAAAGTACATTGGAGTCTGCAAACAGGACAGACCCAGGGCCTCACATGGGACCGGTCAGGCCTCTAAGCACCGCCTCCCTAACGCCACGGTGCTTTCCGAGGGCAAAGGAAAGGTCAGGTGCCCTTCCGGCTCTGCCAGCCCAGGGTGGCTGTGTGCAGCGGGCTAGGTCCTCTCGATGCTGCCTCGGGACAGTGTGTCATGGCCGTTCCACAGTGAGCTGGTGCAGCCTGGGAAGGGGCGCCTCATGTCCCAGAACTGTCTGGGCAGGGGAAACAGATGCCAGTCACCCTCCTCCCCTCCCAGCTGGCCCTTATGGGGCCCCTGTCTAGGCATACTCAGAATTCTGTTTCAAGGCCAAGTGGATGGGCTGGGCTGGTGTCTGAACGCTGCTCCCCCGGCAGACTTGGGGTCCCAGCACCCACAAGGCTTGGCAGAGACGTAGGAGGCCTCTTCCTGAGACTTCCGCCAGCCCCAGGACCCACAGGGCAGGTTGCGGAGGGGTGGGGAAGGTATCTCCGAGAGAGGAGGCGATGGTTTGGATGGGGAAGGGAGGGTTCTGGTGTGGACATGGGGTGGACAGCAGGACCGTTCGCCAGCCTGGGGAGCGGGAGGTGGATGCAGAGCAGCCAGACTCAGGCTTGCCTGCACCTGTGTCCACTGACTGTGACATTCTGACCCCAAGCACACGTGTGTGCGGCGGCAGCCCAGCCTGTTCCCTCCCCGTTGGGCGGGTGAGCTTCAGGAGGCTACAGGGTGGGTTTTAGGCAGGAAATGCAGAGCCAGTGGGCCACAGCTGAGCCTGGACAGGGTCCTGCCACTCCACCCCTCAGCGCTGCTGGCCTCAGCACAGCCCGTGGTATGCGCTTGGTGTCGTAATCCCATCTCACCCCACGATGGGTTCTGGAGCCGCCAGGGCCTGGCGTCCATCCATACCGGGCAGGGGGCTGGGGCCCGCACTGCCCAGAGAAGGCCCAGCACCAATCCCCGGCCCTGGGTGGGTGAGGGGTCCGCCCCAAGGGGCCCGCTGCTGCCCGGGACCTTGTCGTTTGGCCCTGGATCCAGGGGCTCCTGTGACCATGCCCTCTTCTCGGCTGCAGGTTGGCCACAGGACCTGACGCTGCAGGATGGACGAGTGCCCTGAGCCTCTGCAGCAGGACAGAGGGCCGGTGCTGGTCCGACGGCAGCGCCCAGCACCCCAGGGTCTGTGTGAGATGCTGAAGGCCAGGCTGTGGCGGAGCTGCTCGTGCAGCGTGCTGTGCGCCCGGGCGCTGGTGCAGGACCTGCTCCCCGCCACGCGCTGGCTGCGTCAGTACCGCCCGCGGGAGTACCTGGCAGGTGACGTCATGTCCGGGCTGGTCATCGGCATCATCTTGGTGCCTCAGGCCATCGCCTACTCATTGCTGGCCGGGCTGCAGCCCATCTACAGCCTGTATACGTCCTTCTTCGCCAACCTCATCTACTTCCTCATGGGCACTTCGCGGCACGTCTCCGTGGGCATCTTCAGCCTGCTTTGCCTCATGGTGGGGCAGGTGGTGGACCGGGAGCTCCAGCTGGCCGGCTTCGACCCCTCCCAGGAAGGCCTGCAGCCTGGGGCCAACAGCAGCATCCTCAACAGCTCAGCTGCCATGCTGGACTGCGGGCGTGACTGCTACGCCATCCGCATTGCCACCGCCCTCACGCTGATGACCGGGCTTTACCAGGTGAGGAGCTCTGCTTGGGCACAGGGAGGGGCCCAGGGCACCCCCCTTAGGTGCTGGCCATCCACGAGGGCAAGGCTGGGGGCAAGCACAGAGTTGGCAGAGGAGGTGCTGGCCCAAGACAGCAAGGCTTGGGCAGAGCTGAGGTGCGCCGGGGAATCCCAGAGTGAGGCACCGACGCAGAGGGGCTGTGGGTGCGGGAGGGGAGGGGCATGGGGAGCCGGCCTACTGGGCCACGGCCTGGGTGGGGGCCAGCAGGCCAGGTGTGGCTGTGGCTCAGTGGTGCCAGACTGAGGCCATGTGGCCTCCCAGGCCTTCTGTCCTAGGTGGGGTGGGGGATGGCCTCCCCATCCCTGAATGTCTCCTGCCTTGGCCTGTCCACCTCGGCCCCCATTGGCTCCACATCTGCATGGGGGGTAGTGGGCGCCATGTGTGGGAAGCGGGAGGAAGGGGCTACCTTCTGATGCCAGAGGTCTTAATTCTGAAATAAAACGGACTTCTGCATGTGAGAAGGTTAGATGTGTCTGTGGCCAACTGCGTGCATGTGTGACGCCCGTGTGGATGTCCCAAGTGTCTGCAGGCATGAGCACGTGTGGAGCCAGAACACAGGCCCGTGTGAGGAGTCTGATTTGGAACATATGGTGCTGCAACAGAATTGTCAGGCCCTGTGCCGTGACCACCACCCCTCGGGCCACGCCAGGTGCTGGTGAGGGGCACGTGGCTCCTGCCAGGCGCCTGCTGGCCTGACTGCACTCCGTCCACAGGTCCTCATGGGCGTCCTCCGGCTGGGCTTCGTGTCTGCCTACCTCTCACAGCCACTGCTCGACGGCTTTGCTATGGGGGCCTCCGTGACCATCCTGACCTCGCAGCTCAAGCACCTGCTGGGTGTGCGGATCCCGCGGCACCAGGGGCCCGGCATGGTGGTCCTCACATGGCTAAGCCTGCTGCGCAGCGCTGGGCAGGCCAACGTGTGCGACGTGGTCACCAGCACGGTGTGCCTGGTGGTGCTGCTAGCTGCGAAGGAGCTCTCAGACCGCTACCGACGCCGCCTGCGGGTGCCCCTGCCCACGGAGCTGCTGGTCATCGTGGTGGCCACACTCGTGTCCCACTTCGGGCAGCTCCACAGGCGCTTTGGCTCCAGCGTGGCCGGCGACATCCCCACGGGTTTCATGCCTCCTCAGGTCCCGGAGCCCAGGCTGATGCAGCGTGTGGCCCTGGATGCCGTGGCCCTGGCCCTCGTGGGCGCGGCCTTCTCCATCTCGCTGGCGGAGATGTTCGCCCGCAACCATGGCTACTCTGTGTGCGCCAACCAGGAGCTGCTGGCTGTGGGCTGCTGCAACGTGCTACCCGCCTTCCTCCACTGCTTCGCCACCAGCGCCGCCCTGGCCAAGAGCCTGGTGAAGACAGCCACTGGCTGCCGGACACAGCTGTCCAGTGTGGTCAGCGCCACCGTGGTGCTGCTGGTGCTGCTGGCGCTGGCACCGCTGTTCCACGACCTCCAGCGAAGCGTGCTGGCCTGCGTCATCGTGGTCAGCCTGCGGGGGGCCCTGCGCAAGGTGTGGGACCTCCCACGGCTGTGGCGGATGAGCCCGGCCGACGCGCTGGTCTGGGCGGGCACCGCGGCCACCTGCATGCTGGTCAGCACAGAGGCCGGGCTGCTGGCCGGCGTCATCCTCTCGCTGCTCAGCCTGGCCGGCCGCACCCAACGCCCACGAGCCACCCTGCTGGCCCGCATCGGGAACTCGGCCTTCTACGAGGATGCCACAGAGTTCGAGGGCCTCGTCCCCGAGCCCGGCGTGCGGGTGTTCCGCTTTGGCGGGCCGCTGTACTACGCCAACAAGGACTTCTTCCTGCGGTCACTCTACAGCCTCACAGGGCTGGACGCGGGGTGTGTGGCTGCCAGGAGGAAGGAGCGGGGCTCAGAGTGGGAGGTCGGCGACGGAGGCCCTGCCCAGGGCAAGGACCTGGGCGCGGTTAGCAGCAGGGCTGCGCTGGCGCCTGCGGCGGCCGGCTTCCACACAGTGGTCATCGACTGTGCCCCGCTGCTGTTCCTGGACGCAGCCGGCGTGACCACGCTGCAGGACCTGCGCCGAGACTATGGGGCCCTGGGCATCAGCCTGCTGCTGGCCTGCTGCAGCCCCCCTGTGAGAGATGCTCTGAGCAGAGGAGGCTTCCTTGGGGAGGGCCCTGGGGACGTGGCTGAGGAGGAGCAGCTGTTTCTCAGTGTGCACAATGCCGTGCAGACAGCACGAGCCCGCCACAGGGAGCTGGAGGCCACTGACGCCCACCCGTAGCAGGGCCAGGCCTGTCCAGCAGCCTCTGCTCCCTCCAGGGGCGCCCACAGCAGACGTCTGCAAGCCACTGCTGAGACCCTTCCCAGGGAGGAGCCGCCCAAGAGCTGCACTCTTGTGCCACAGCTGCCCTGGGGAAACCGGGGAACCCCGACTGGGTAAGGAGCCCCTCTGATCACACGCAGGACCCAAACACTCAGAAATCAAGAACTTCTGCCTCCAAGACAGGCTGGCCCATAGTGCTGGCTGGGTCTCAATGCTCCACACCCTTGCTGTCCCTCGGCTCAGCAGGGATGGGCCTGGCCTGACGCTCGGGGTTGACATCTTATTTGAACAAGGGCCCCCCAACATTATGCAGCCTCCAAGGTGCCAAGAGGACCCCCTATGCCCTGGCCTGCCTAGTGCCCATCCTGCTGGTAGGAGCCAGCGGCTCCGGCCAAGAGCATGAGGGTCTCTGTGTTTCCAGAAGGCCCCACACACCCAAGTGCCCCTCACACCTTGTGCCTCCCTGTCACAGGGTGGCCACCTGCACCAGCATCAGGGCCCAGGGTGCTGTGACCAGTTAAGACCTCCCCTCAGTTCTCAGGTGCTGGCCCTGCCCAGCCCAGTCAGCAAACACACAGGGATGCTCATGGGTGCACGAGAAGACAGGTGTGGCACAGCCCACCCTGAGCTTCCAGGGAGACCTGCAGGAAGCCCACCGTGCCCCATGCAGGGGCTCCCTCCAGCACACAGCCCTCACCCCAGCACGGCCAGCAAGGACACGGTGCTTCGGCGGAAAGTGGGGAACAAGGGGTCTTCTGAGCAGTCCCCAGCCCTGCCCCTCCCGTCTGTGCCTCTGTAAGGGGCTCTGGGACACCCAGGCCCCACCCGTCGCCCACCTGGTGGTGACAAGCTCCAGCAGCCAGTGGGTCCGGACCTGCTCGATGCCACGGTGAGGGACGGCGCCCACATAGGCGAGGTTGAGTTGCTGGTCCCAGCTGAGGACGTACTGGTCAGCCTGGCTGTGTGGCAGCGGGGGGCTGGGGACAGCAAAGGGGCGGCTCAGTCCCGAGGCTCAGCATGGCTGGCAGCGCGGCCCACACACACGTTCAAGCCCAGGACTGCCCGGGCGCGGGATTCAGGCGCTGCGCGTGCGCTCAGTGACTAATAAAATGACCCTTAGGGCCAAGGATGTTGGGAGGTCCCATCTTCCTGCGGAACGGGAGCGGCCGTAAGACGAGGGGCCAACGCCAGCCCTGGCCCCGGCCCTGCCAGGCAGGCGGGCCCTCAGCTCTAGGTGGAGGGAATGGGACAGGCAGGCCAGGTCCCGCTGCAGGGGGGTCCCACTCCCGGGAGACTCCTGGTTTACCTCAAAGAGCAGGATCCTGGGCATCGGTCTGGGCTACAGGGGGCGGCCACTGGGCAAGCTCAGGGCCCAGCCCCAGGCTCACGCCCTGGCACCCACTCAGCTGGAGAGCCCACCCCCAAACACGGCGCGGGGCGGGCCCGGGAGAGCCAGGGCCCCAGAGGAGGGAGCTCCGGTCTCTGAAGCTCTCACAGTGCGCAGTCAGGGGGCGCCCGAGCTCTCCCCGTGCGACCACAGGGTCCCGGAGGCCGCGGGCGGGCGCGCGGAGCGCTCACCAGAAGCCTGTGCTCCTCCAGAAGCGCCGCAGGGGCCACAGCGTGCGTGCCGCGTCCACCTGCACCAGGTGCGGGGCCTCGGCCGGGACCACCGGGGGAGCGGCCAGGAGCGAGGCCAGGACCGCGAGCAGCGTTGCGCGGGGGCGCAGGGGGCGCATGGCCGGGCACGCTCGGTGACTGTGGGACTTCGGGCCGCACTGCCGGTTCCGCCTCCGGATAGGAGTCTGGGCGCGCACCCCACGTGACCGCCGCGGCGGGGCGGGGCCTTGGTGGGCGGGGCGATGGTCGGGTGGGCGGGGCTGGGCAGCCTCCGGGAGCCGGGATCCCGGCGGGGTTGGAGTTCCGCTTCCTGGCAGGCCTCAGGGGTTGCTCTGAGGACCGGTGACTCGAAAAGCGCTCAGAAGAACGCTTGGCCCATTGGTGCTATGTGAGTTGAGCCATTACTGTCTTGTTTTTCTCTGTTTTTGTGTGTTTTTGAGACAGAGTCTTGCTCTGTCGCCCAGGCTGGGGTGCGGTGGCGCGATCTCGGCCCACTGCAACCTCCATCTCTGGGGCTGCGGCGATCTTCCCGCCCCAGCCTCCCGTGTAAAGCGTGCGCTTTAGCAAGAAGGAGAATTATCCCAGAAGAGCACACTGGGCCCTCCTTACACTTGGCTTCACATCCATGGATTCAACCAAGCAGACTGAAAATATTGTTTTTAAGCTAAAGCAATACAGTCTCGCTGTGTCTCCCAGGCTGGCGTGCAGTAGCGCGATCTCGGCTCGCTGCAGGCTCCGCCTGCACAGGGTTGATGCCATTCTCCTGCCTCAGCCTCCCGAGTAACTGGGACTACAGGCGCCCGCGGCCACACCCGGGTAATTTTTTTGCATTTTTAGTAGAGACGGGGTTTCACCGTGTTAGCCAGGGTGGTCTCGATCTCCTGACCTCGCGATTCGCCCGCCTCGGCCTCCCAAAGTGCTAGGATTACAGGCGTGAGCCACCGCGGGCGACCAAAATAATACACATTTTAAAACAATACAGTGTAACAGCTATTTACAGAGCATTTACATTGTTTTAGGGATCATAAGTAATCTAAAGTACACAGTGGGATGTGCGTAGGTAATGTGCAAATACTACGCCATTTTATATGAAGTACTTGAGCACCTGCAAATTTTGGTATCTTTGAGGGTCCTGGAACCAATACCCCGAGGACGAGGATACCACAGGACAACCATAGTCCTGTATGCCTGTGTGAATCCAAGCAAAGTAACAAGCTGGGTGCGGTGGCTCACACCTGCAACGCCAGCACTTTGGGATTGCAGGCCAACGCGGGAGGATCACTTGAGGCCTGGAACTTGAAATCGGCCTGGGCAACGTACCAAGACCCCATCTGTACAAAAAAAAAAATAAATGTAGCCAGATGTGATGGCATATGCCTGTGAGCCCCAGCTACCCACGAAATTGAGGTGGGAGATTGCTTGAGCTTAGGAGTTCAAGGCTGAGGCGAGCTGTGATCACACCGCTGCATTCCAGCCTGGTTGACAAAATGAGACCCATCTCTAAAAAAGTACCAAAAAAAAAAGGAAAAAAGAACAGTCTACTAACAAAATGAAAATACTGGACAATAATCCTCTGTAAGTTGGGGGAAGGATCATTAGAGTTACAGTGTTCTGAGTCTTTTTATTTTGGGGATGGGGTTAAAATATTCTTAACATTAGAACTTCTTATGTTGAAATTGCAAGGTAAAATGTCATGATTAGCCATTTAAAAGAGAAATAGTGTGTATATATTCCAAATTAGCACGGAGGAAAAATGTAATACAAAAAAAAAAGTAATAAAATTCAATGAAAAACTAAAAGGTAAGAAAGGAAGGGAAAGGCGAGAAAAACATGCCAGTACAGAACTGTCTCCAGGAACAGTGGGTAAGACCCTCCGTCCAACAACCCCAGAGAAAACAACTAAAATGGTAGATAAACTGCTTTAAAAACAATTCCTCAAAGCGTCAGAGAACTGAAAAAAACTAAGAAACCACCAGTCCCACACCATGGCGCTGGGCACAGCAATGGAAACAATTATTTCAGACCAGCCACCTCCTGAGAGCAACCAACAGAGCTGGAGAGCGCTGCACGGAACCGTCCAAGGCGCTGGGAGCTCGGAGGAGGCCCAGGGGCTCTGCAGGGCCAAGCCGGGAGGGGGTGGGGCCAGCTTTGAGGCCGCGACCTAACACCCCTACAGCGTATCCCAGCCACACAAGACATGGTGACACACTGATGCGTTCCCCACGCTGTGGCCACACGACAAAAGTCGAGGCTCAGGCAGTGGTGCCTGGTAAAGACTTTGGGCTTTTCTTGGGACCCCAAAGGGCTATCCCCTAAAAGCAAAGGTGAACCAGAAACAGAATTGTCTTTGCCGGGACTGAAGCCAGCCTTAAATCACCTCAAGCCCTGAGAGAATTAAGGTGAGCCGCTCACCTGGACACTTGCGGACACAAAAGCAAACCTTCCCTGGAGGAAGGTAAAACAAACAAAAACAGAAGTCCTCACTGTACAGTGCTGGAATGGATCCGGGTCAGGAAAAATTATAAAGTGCACAATGGGGACATTCACAGTTTGGAATATGCCTTGTATATTGTATAACAAAAGTCTACTGGAATTACGCCTGTAATTCCAGCACTTTGGGAGGCCGAGGCGGGCGGATCACGAGGTCAGGAGATCGAGACCATCCTGGCTAACACGGTGAAACCCCGTCTCTACTAAAAATACAAAAAATTAGCCAGGCATGGTGGTGGGTGCCTGTAGTCCCAGCTACTTGGGAGAATCCCTTGAACCCAAGAGGTGGAGGTTGCAGTGAGCCAAGATCACGCCACTACACTCCAGCCTGAGTGACAAAGTGAAACTCCATCTCAAAAAAAAAAAAAGAAAGAAAGAAAGAAAAGACGGAAGGAGGGAGGAAGGAAGGAAGGAAGGAAGGAAATATTGGGCCAGGCGCAGTGGCTCATGCCTGTAATCTCAGCACTTTGGGAGGCTGAGGCAGGCGGATCAGGAGATCGAGACCATCCTGGCTAACACGGTGAAACCCCGTCTCTACAAAAATACAAAAAATTAGCCGGGGGTGGTCGCACATGCCTGTAGTCCCAGCTACTAGGGAGGCTGAGGCAGGAGAATCGCTTGAACCCAAGAGGTGGAGGTTGCAGAGAGCCGAGATTGCGCCACTGCACTCCAGCCTGGGTGACAGAGCGAGACTCTGTCTAAAAAAGGAAAGAAAGAAAGAAAGAAAATATTGGGCTGGGTGTGGTGGCTCATGCCTATAATCCCAGCACTTTGGGAGGCCGAGGCAGGTGGATCACCTGAGGTCAGGAGTTTGAGATCAGCCTGACCAACATAGTGAAACCCCATTTCCACACACACACAAAAAAATTAGCCGGGTGTGGTAGTGCATCCCTGTAATCCCAGCTACTTGATTGAGAGGCTGAGGCAGGAGAATTGCTTGAACCCTGGAGGCAGAGGCTGCAGTGAGCTGAGATCGCGTCATTGCACTCCAGCCTGCGCAACAGAGCAAGACCCTGTTTCAAAGAGAAAAGACAATATTAAATGGTGTTCTTCAAGTAGAAGGAAGGAAGTCCCAAATCCCAGCTCACAGGTGCAGGAAGAAGTGAAGAGTGCAGGGGGGATGGGAAAACTTCCCCTCCCTGTCTGAAGTTTCACCAAAAAGGTACACAGATTTCTTGGATTGTAGTTTTATGTGACACTGGAGCTTTCAGAGCAAAGACCTAAAGGCGCAGGGGAAACTGCATTTTATACTCAGGCTCTGTGAAGTCTGGAAATAGGATTGGACGAAAGGTTAAGACCTGACAGGCTAACAGACTCCCGGGGGGCCCAGTGAGGCCCGTGTGCTTCGGTTCCTGGCAGCCTCTCTCTGCAGCTCTCCTTCTTGCTGGGTGGGGGCACAATCCCCCGGAATAGGGGTCTGAACACCTGCAGTCAAACAAGGCAGGCCAGAGAATTCCTTTATGGCCAGTTTTTACACAGAAATACAGGAAAGTTATTAGAGTCGTACTTTTAGGTTTATGGCTGGCTTTAGGTTTATGGGGAAAAGGGGTTCAGGTTTCTACGACCTGCCTCGGAGAATAAGGGGCCAGAGACAGGGGGCAGGAGAAGGCCTGGCTTCCAAGGCCTTCACTCCGGGTGTCATTTTCTGAGCCCCAACAAAAGCAACAGAAAGGGTATATTGTGTACAAACCTAATGAATCGTAACCGCATAAAACAATCATGTTACAGGGTTTCACATATTTCTGGGGAATTAGGATTTACAGCAACAGCAGCACAGGTGTCCTGAGGGAAAAGTGGAGTGAGAGGGGAGGAAAGCCTCCCGAAGATGCCCTCCGTCCTGTCCAGGCCTGTGCCTGTCGCCTCACGTGGTGAGCGCCTGCAAACGTGGTTCCTTGAAGCGTCTAAAACGCAGAGATAATCCCGGGTGTCCAGACGGGCCCGGAGTGTAATCTCGGTGTTCCTGTACAGGGGAGGCGGAGGGGGATTTGACACAGAGGAGGCTGTGATGGCCTCAGGAGAGATCGAAAGGTTGTTCTAAAATGTGTCCCCAGGATTTGTTTCAATGAGGTGTGGGGAGACACACAGACCCGGCCATGACAGGCTGGGAGGAAGGCCTTGCTGTGTGTAGAGACGTGTGCGATTCTGATTTAGATTCTGGGGCTCTGTGAGGCAAGAGATTCACACGGGTCTCTGCCCTGCAGGGGACACCTTTTGGGTAATGGCCCAGTGGCTTATAATAAACTTGGGGAAAAGGCCGCTGGTCGGCAGAGGCACTCAGGGCTGAGACCACACCTGGCACGTTACTTCCGGGTCCGCCTTTCACCCGGGGCATCCGGGCGGGGGTGGAGCAGCAGCCGTCGCCGGGCTCCCCAGGCAGCGTGGCCAGCAGCATCGTGCCCTCCTGCATGCGCCCATTTCTCTTTGCTCAAGAGAGTCCAACGGGGCTTGCCAGGCAGCCCAGGGGTCTACGGGGGTGACCTCCTCCCACTGCATCCAGAGCACTGAGAAGGGGAGCGCCAGCCAGGGTCTACGGGGGTGACTTCCTCCCACACTTGGCATCCAGCAAGCCACTGAAGAAGGGGAAGCCGCCCAGCCCAGGGGTCTACGGGGGTGACCTCCTCCCGCACTTGGCATCCAGCAAGCCACTGAAGAAGGGGAAGCCGCCCCCTCCCACGGGTGGAAGACAGCAAAGGACAGCTTTGCCTCCATCCTGCCTAGAGAGTCCTCGGCAGTCGAGCTGAGCTTGTGGGGTGCTGGTCCTATGCCCCGGCGCATACGGGCAGCTGGGGATGGGGCCAGAAGCTCAGGGTCGGTGACAGCCTCTGTCCCGGGAGACCCTGGGGTCAGCCAGTCACTTGTGGTTTTAAGAGTGGACGGCACTGGCCCGGCGCGGTGGCTCACGCCTGTAATCCCAGCTCTTTGGGAGGCCGAGGCGGGCGGATCACGAGGTCAGGAGATCGAGACCATCCTGGCTAACACGGTGAAACCTCATCTCTACTAAAAATACAAAAAACTAGCCGGGCGAGGTGGTGGGCACCTGTAGTCCCAGCTACTCGGGAGGCTGAGGCAGGAGAATGGCATGAACCCGGGAGGCGGAGCTTGCAGTGAGCTGAGATCGTGCCACTGCACTCCAGCCTGGGTGACAGAGCGAGACTCCATCTCAAAAAAAAAAAAAAAAAGTGGATGGCACAAGGCCAAGTTCTTGCTGGTTCTTGCATCAGAAGCTGCTGGGCAGCTTATGGCTGTCAGGGGTGGCTGAGAGATGCCAGCTGGCCAAGAAGAGGCTGCCAACGCCTCTACAGTGGAGTCTCTGAGGGCACTAACAAGAGTGCCTGCAGATTTTAATTTGTTTTGTTTTGTTTTTAGACAGGGTCTTGCTCTGTGCCCAGGCTGGAGTATAGTGGCGCAATCACGGCTTACTGCAGCCTCGACCTCCCAGTCTCAAGCAGGCCTCCCACCGCAGTCTCCTGAGTACCTGGGACTGCAGGCATGTGCACACCCGGCTAATTTTTTATTTATATATTTTTTGTAGATAGGGTCCCTCTGTGTTGCCCGGGCTGGTTTCGAACTCTTGCGCTCAAGTGATCCTCCCACCTCAGCCTCCCAAAGTGCTGAGACTACAGGCGTGAGCCACCACCCTGGCTGGTTTTTATTTGGACATAAAATTTGGAAATGAGGAATATGTTGCCACCAGAACCCAAAAAGAACTAAAAGATACTGTACTGTGTCAGTAGGAGGGCGTTTTCCATGCATGTGGGCCCGCGCCTCTGAAGGAGGTCTGGTCTGCGGAGGTCCCGGCGCAGCCTGGAAAAGGTGGGCTGTGTCCTTGGAGGTGGCGGTGAACTGCAGCGTCGGCTTCGAGGTGGCTGAAATGGGCCCTGAGTGGAGCAGAGGCCACGTCTGCCCAATGCATGCTGGCCGGTTGCTGACTGGGGAGTCACTGGTTGAGACCCTGCTGGGTGCAGGGTGTGGGGCCTAAGGGGCGACTGCAGCCTCAAGATTGTGAAAACCCACCATGAGGCACCCGTTATTTTTTCCTGGTGAAAGAACAGGCAAAATTGGGCCTTTGTTTTCTCTGGTTGTATCTAGGTAGTTACTGTTTTTTTCCTTTCTCCCCACCACCATCCCTTCTTTCTGCTTAGGCTTTGATCCACCCTAAACCCTGATTTTTAGTTTCTGTCTCTGGCTGATAAAAGGGAAGGAGGGGAGGGAAGCTGCCCCCTCAGGATGGCCCCTGTCTGCTGCATCTTTTTCCCTCCGTTTTTTCCTCTTAAACAAAAATCTTGGTTTTTGTCTTAAAAATCTGGCTTATATCTCCAGGTGCGTGGAATTTTTTTCTCTTTTCTTCCTGTCCATTCTGACTGTATTACCTGCATTTTTTTTTTTCTTTCGAGAAGGAGTTTTGCTCTTGTTGCCCGGGCTGGAGTGCAGTGGCGCAATCCTGGCTCACTGCAGCCTCCGCCTCCCGGGTTCAAGCAATTCTTCTGCCTCAGCCTCCCAAGTAGCTGGGACTACAGGTGCCCGCCAACATACCTGGCTAATTTTTGTATTTTTAGTAGAGAGAGGGTTTCACCATGTTGGCCAGGATTGTCTCGATCTCCTGACCTCAGGTGATCTGCCCACCTTGGCCTCCCAAAGTGCTGGGATTCTAGGCGTGAGCCACCGCACCCGGCCTATTTTCTGTATTCTTAATGCACTGGCCTTGGGGGTCTTGATCCTGGAGAGACCACAGCTCCCAGAGCTCACAGGTGCCTCCTTGTCACACTCACACCAAGCCAGTGTCCCTGCCCTCAGTCACCCCAGGGCAAGGTATTGACTGACCAGAGGCTGCCGAGCCCAGGACCCAGGGAAGTCGCTCCAACTCCAACCCTGTCCTGATCTCATCTGGCAGCGTCCACCTTGCCTCATTTGCCCTTCCTGCGGCGCCCCCATGAACTGGGGCTCCCCACCACTCTGTGGCCCTGTGTGCTGTGCCCCCTTCTCTTGGGAAATGTAATATATCATCTTTGCAGGAAGTCGTCTCCACATCTGCCACCTTACCGCACCTGATTAAAACTAAGCCCAGGTACAAATTTTAGAACAAAGGTGTGTGGCCTCTGGAAATCAGCTCTGGAAGCTAGAAGGGGCCAGTAGCTTTGCCGCGGGAGGGAGTGTGGTGCTGCCGACATGTGGACCTGCAGCGGGTTTGTGCTGGCCTGGGCCACATCAAGGCACCAGCACAGCAGGTCCACACAGTGGGACGGATTGACAGGAAGCTGGGAGATCCCCTTCCAAGGGCAGCACACAGTTTTGTAAAATTTGCTAAGCCAAAATTCCTTAACCACAAGCGCTCCTACTCCCTCTCCGCTTTCCCTCTTGCTGGGCTGGCACTGGAGAGGCAGTGGGCACTCTGCGGCCTGGCAGGGGGACGTTCAGTTGTGGAGACATCGGCGGGTCAGCAGCCTCCACCATGCCCTTCCCAGCCACTTCCTTCCAGACGTCCTATGGGAGAAACAGCTTCCAGCAACACCCGTGGCAATTAACACAGAGGAGTGACTCACAGGAACTTCTGGAAGAGGAGGAAAGATCTTGCTGATTTAACAGGAAATGCCGACATCAATGAGAGAATGCGGGACCCTCACACCAGCCTCACGAGAACCCGGTGGATACGGCTCATCCCAGAGGGTGCCTTGGATCAGCACCTGGGGAAAAAAAAGCAGCACCTGAAACTGGTCAGCCTGCAGAGGAGAGAAGACTGAGCAAGTTTTCTCCAAATTTCACAACAGGCTTTACCATGTGGATGATATAACCAGTCGTCAGTACATTTCTGTAAAGCAAATCACACTTTAAAAAAACCAGCCATGCTAGTGGGCCTGAGGATTACCTTTCATTTTCCTCTTTTCTCTCTGGAAAATGATATTGCAAAATTGTAAAAAGAGACAATTAAAAAGTGGATGAAAGGGTATCACAGCGAGCCATTATGAATAAAAAATTTCAGTATTTTCTGGATTTTGTGGTGCTTGTGCTATTAGTCAAGTTTTAAGAAATGCTTAATTTATGATTTCTTCTTGCATCTAATTTTATTTTATTCTTTTTTTTGAGATGGAGGTCTTGCTCTGTTACCCGGGCTGGAGTTCCGTGGCGCAATCTTAGCTCACTGCATCCTCCGCCTCCTGGGTTCAAGTGATTCTTCTGTCTCAGCCTCCTGAGTAGCTGGACTTACAGGCACATACCACCACGCCCAGCTAATTTTTATATTTTTAGTAGAGACGGGGTTTTACCATGTTGGCCAGGCTGGTCTCAAACTCCTGACCTCAGACAATCCGCCCGCCTTGGCCTCCCAAAGGGTTGGGATTACAGGCGTGAGCCACCGCACCCGGCCTGCATCTAATTTTGTAATAGTTATTTTGCATTTCTTCTTCTTCTTTTTTTTTTTTTTTTTTTTTTTTTTGAGACGGGGTCTCGCTCTGTCACCCAGGCTGGAGTGCAGTGGCCGGATCTCAGCTCACTGCAAGCTCCGCCTCCCGGGTTCATGCCATTCTCCTGCCTCAGCCTCCCGAGTAGCTGGGACTACAGGCGCCCGCCACCTCGCCCGGCTAGTTTTTTGTATTTTTTAGTAGAGACGGGGTTTCACCGGATTAGCCAGGATGGTCTCAATCTCCTGACCTTGTGATCCACCCGTCTGGGCCTCCCAAAGTGCTGGGATTACAGGCTTGAGCCACCGCGCCCGGCCTTTTTTTTTTTTTTTTTTTTTTTTTTTGAGACGGAGTCTCGCTCTGTCTCCCAGGCTGGAGTGCAGTGGCGCGATCTCGGCTCACTGCAAGCTCCTCCTGGGTTTACGCCATTCTCCTGCCTCAGCCTCCTGAGTAGCTGGGATTACAGGCACGTGCCACCACACCCAGCTAATTTTGTATTTTTAGTAGAGACGGGGTTTCTCTATGTTGGTCAGGCGGGTCTCGAACTCCCGACCTCGTGTTCGCCCGCCTCGGCCTCCAAAGTGCTGGGATTACAGGCGTGAGCCACCACGCCCGGTCTGCATTTCTTAAATAGATCCCCATCAGCAGTTGAGAGCTCTGGCTCTCTGACTGGATGCCTTCCCGCTGCCCGCAGGCAGCCCTTCCTGCTCACTCACATTCTTCAGGGTGCTGTCTGTCCCAGAGCACAGCTCCTGGAGGGTGGAGGTCCCCTGAAGCTTTGGCTACATTCCCTTTACCCTGGGGTCCACCCAGGGTCCTGCCCCAGCAGCTCAACCAACAGCTTCTGGACCAACAGAATCCTCCCGGGTTGAGGACCGAGTCTCCCCCCTCAGCATATGAGGGGCCTGCTCCTCCCTCCTCAGACTGGGTCTCCAGCTCACCCTCCACTCCTGGAATCCCCCTGTGGCCTGGGGGCCCCCACCAGCATAGCCCCCAGGGCAGGTCTCCCGGCTCCTTCCCTCCACAGTCCACAGCCCCCAATCCCTTTCTGGCGTCTCCCCGACAGGCCCCCCTCTGCTCTTCCCGCCCCCTGGGACCGCCTGCCGCGATGGCCCTGGAGCCCCGCCCTCTGCAGGTCCCTGGCTGCGCAGACTCCTGTCCACAGTTAGGCCCACGGGGACAGGGACCCAGAGTGCTGCCAACGGCGGGGAGGGGTGACCCGCGTGGACACGGCTCTCAAAGGCCACCAACGCCAGCTGAACAAGACCCGCGGCGCGCACCGGGCAGGAGAGCTGGGCGCTCGGCGTGAGGCCCGGGCGGGGGTCGCGAGGCTACAGCCTCGGGCCGCAGGCGGGTCCCCCGTTGCAGTGAGGGCACCAGTCGGGCGCAGGGGGTCCTGGGCCTCGGGCAGGACCAGGTCTGCGCGTGCGAAGACGGCGAAGACCCCACGGACGGAGCCGCCCAAGCACCGCAAACCCCGTTTCCCGGGACCCACTGTGGGAGGCCCGCGGCGCTGCCCTTCGCCTGGGGCGCCCTGCGCGGCCGGGGGCCTAGGACAGCATCTGCGTCTCGCGTGGGAGGCGCCTGTCTGCGCAGCTGCGGGCCGCGGCCCCGCAGGTACAACGCCGCGCGTGCGGCGTCCGGAGTCCGCTGCAGGGAAGTCTGGGCCGGTTGTGGTCAAACCGAGCCCACGCGGACCAGTTCCCCACGGCGGGTTCGCGAGGGGCCCCCACGCGCAGGTCCCGCCCCGCCCCATCACAAGGCCCGCCCCCCAGTCCCGCCCATCGACGGGGCACGGCTGCGATCCGTAGCAGGCCCCGCCCCACCCGCCCCCAGATCCGCCCACCAGCAGCGCACGGCCCCGCCCCGCGGCCCGCGTCTGCGCAGTGGGGCGGGCGCAGTCGGAAGCCGGGCTGCGCGGCGCCGCGGTGGAGCTGGGGCTCTTGGACCCCCAGCGCGGACCAAAAGGGGCTCGGGCCGCTCGGGCCGGGAATGGCGGCGGCGGCCGAGCCCGGGGCCCGTGCCTGGCTGGGCGGCGGCTCCCCGCGCCCCGGCAGCCCGGCCTGCAGCCCCGTGCTGGGCGCAGGAGGCCGCGCGCGCCCGGGGCCGGGACCCGGGCCGGGGCCGGGGCCGGGACCCGGGCCGGGGCCGGGGCCGGGGCCGGAGCGGGCGGGCGCCAGAGCCCCGGGCTCCGTTGCCGGGCCGGGACACAGCTTCCGGAAGGTGACGCTCACCAAGCCCACCTTCTGCCACCTCTGCTCCGACTTCATCTGGGGGCTGGCCGGCTTCCTGTGCGACGGTGAGCGCCCGGGCCCGATGCCCACCCGGCTGCAGCCCTGCCTCTGCCCCGTGGGCGGAAGCCTGAGCGGAGGTGGCACCGGCGCTTTCGGGGTGGGGGGCGGGGTCCCAGCCCTGTTCTTGGGACCTGCCTTCGTGGGGCGGTCGGGGCCTGTGCGCCGTGGGGCCGTTCCAGGCTGCGGGTCTCCGGGCTTCCTCACCTGGGAGGTGCGGGCAGTGTCTCCATAGTGCCGCGCGATGGCTGCGACCGGGGGCTGTGCCTGATGCGAGCGGGACCTCCGCTGGGGTCCCCATGGCCGGCTTCCTCTCCCAGTGGCTGGGGCAGCAGGTGTCGCCGAGCAGGGCTGGCCTGGGCCCCTGGCCCTGGCCCTTATCATGCTGTGGCCCAGAGTCCCAGCCACCTGGAGAGCCAGGCCGGGCCCTGCCGCCCGGTGCGCGTGCCCCAGCCCTGCTCCACCCAGCTGCCCAGCCCCGTCTGGGGTGAGGACGGCCTTTCCCTGCTCTGGGCTCGGGTGCTCCCAGGGCTGGCTCTCATCTTCCCCCGCGGCAAGCAGGCGGGCCCTGGGGACCACAGCCCAGCCTCTGGAGGGAGCGAGGGTCAGGACCGGAGTCCTGGACGTTTGACACTTACTGTGTCCTGGCCAGGGACGCCGAGGTGGCAGGGGCTAAGGAGCCTCTGCCCTGCTCAGGGATTCAGGCCTTTGCTCTGGGGATAGGGGTCCACTCAGGCCGGGGTCCGCAGAGGAGACTGTCCCCTCACACAGGGATGTGGTCTGTGGTGGAAATGGCATGGTTGTTCTGACCCCCAGGGCGCACAAGGTGGCCTGGCCTCCCAGCTTCTTTGTCACATCAGAGCATGGCACAGCCATGCCTGCTGCCTGGGGAGGCCAGGGGCTTCCCCCGAGGTGGGGAGTGTGCATGTGTGGCTGAGGCGGCTCCCTGCTTGAGGCCAGACTCCGGGTCCCCTCCCCCTTGGGAGGGGGCACAAGGGCCCTCCTGGGCAGCACCCAAGGAAGAGGGGCCAGCAGGGCTATGGGAAGAAGGGCGCCCTCCCCCACCCCCGGAGACCCAAGCGTGGGACGTGGGGTGAGCAGGCCCTGTCTCCACGGCAGAGGAGGGACATGGGTGCTGCCTGTCTCCCCTTCTTCTCTCCGTGGACCCTGGCCTGCTTCCAGAGCCTTTCTATTAAGCTGCCAGAAGGAACTTCTCCGAGTCCCATCTGGAGACTGGGGTAGCCAGGGTTGCAGCAGGTGAAGGGCGCTGTGTTGTGGCACCAGCTGGGCCTTCTGGAAGAGCTCCCTGTCCCAGCTGGGCAGCCTGGAGCTCCCTGGCACAACCTTCACCCGGGGCTGTCTTGGCAGGTGTGTCCCTGGGTGCCTTGCCCACTCCCAGCCCCCAGCAGCCTTTGCCCCAGCCCAGGGCTCCTGCTCTCCCTTCTGCCCTGGCCCCACCCTCCTGTCTGTTTCACTGCTGGGGTGTGGCGCTTGCTGCTCTTGTGTCCTCCTGAGCACCCTGCTGGCTGAGGTGCTCCCTGGGTCCTGTGCACATGGCCAGAGCTCCTTGGGAGGCTCAGGGCTGTCCACTCCCCAGCAGCTCCTGCCTCCCAGAGCCCTCACCTGCCCTGGGTGGCTCTAGGTCTCAGGCATGGTGCACAGCACGTAGCAGGGAAAATTAGGGGTGTGCGCAGTTTCAGGGGAGTGAGACACAGGTGTCCCTGGCAAAGCCAATCTGCAGAAGCCCGAGACGCCCCTGCCACTTAGCAAGCCTGGTGAGCCCAGGGCTGCCCCTTGAGAGGCCCAGCTGCAGAGGCAGGAGGAGCGCTGGGCCCACGTGCGAAGGGGAGGGGCTGCTCTCTGGATGAGAGGACACACTCATTGTCCTCCAGGATGGTCAGGACCACCCAGGTTCTTGCTCCTGGGCTGCAGGCTGTCTCCAATGAGTGGGGCTGGGTGGGGGGGGGGGGCAGGGGGAACTCGGAGAACCACAGCGTGGGTATGGCAGTAGTTGCCCTGGGGCCTCTAACTTCCTGGGTAAGACAGCCATTGGGTGGGACAGGGGCCAACTCACACAGCGCTCATTCCCACAGTCTGCAATTTCATGTCCCATGAGAAGTGCCTGAAGCTTGTGAGGATCCCGTGCACGAGTGTGGCGCCCAGCCTGGTCCGGGTGAGTGTGGGGCTGGGTGTTGCACCTGCAAGAGGCTGGGGGATGTGTCAGCTCTCGTGGGGTCGAGGTACTGAGACCCTTCATGTCAGATGTTAGTGATACCTGCGGTTGAAAGGCAAAGGTCAGACACTGCTCGGGATTAAAAGGCTCAGCACCTTGCATGGATCTGTAGGGAATGATGATAAAAGCCAGTCCCAAAGGTCACAGTTAGCAAGATCCTGTCCACAGAACGTGCTCAAAATGACGAAACTAAACATCTACACAGATGTAGAGAGGTCTCCAGGTGGGGAAGTGGGTGTGGCTGTGACATGCAGCGTGAGGGCTCCTGGGGGGATGATTTCCGCATCTGGGGTGTCAGCATCTCAGCTGTGATGTGACCTTAGTTTGCAAGATGACACACTTAGGGGAGCTGACAAAGGCTTCAGGGGGTCTATGCCATTCCTCATAGCTGTGTGTGAACCCACAGGCACCTCAAGGAAGCTTGAATAAAAAGCAAAGGCAGGAAGTCTGGGTGCCTGAGGGTGTCTTGGCCACCAGCCTCCCCCTAAGGGCTCTGAGGTGGGGCAGGGAAGTGACTGGCCCAAGGCACTGCAGGGCACTGCAGGAGCCCTGGGCTGGGGCAAAGGCTGCCGGGGGCTGGGAGTGGGCAAGGCACCCAGTGACACACCTGCCAAGACAGCCCCGGGTGAAGGTTGTGCCATGGAGCTGTTCTCTGGTGACAGTGGTGACAGCAGGGACATGTAGGAAGGGCCAGGCTTACTCCTCCCTCAGCTGTCAGCCCCACCGTCTGCAGACTGAGGCCCCCCATGTCTGCATTCCCTGAAGTGCTCAGGCCGCAGGTGGAGTGCAGGCTGTGAGGCAGGCCCAGGTGTGCAGCAGGACGGGAAGCCAGGCCAGCAGGCGCACCTGCCACTGGCGGGCATCTGGCTGCGCCGTCCCCTCTAATGTCTGATGCCCTGTTCCTAATGATGCAGTTCCCGGGGTGTGAGCAGGAAGCCTGAGGACACTGGCCCTGGTGGTGGCCGGGATCCTGGGGATGCCACATTGGCTTGGACAGCCCCTCCTCATGTGGACGGCCTGAGGCTGCAGCTTTTTAAAATTGATTTTAATGTACTTTTCTATACTTTGCTAAATTGGGAAAATATGTATTTCAACTATATGCATAATAGGAAGTTTAAAAGATATATTTGACAAAATAAAAGTTACCCACCATTCTGGTATGCTCACAGCTGAAATTGTGGAACACGGTCTTTCTGTGTATGCTTTTATCGGGTGTGGTTTAAGTTTGGGGATAAGAGAGAGTCGAGAGTGAAGACTTGGTCCTTGTCCTTCCCTTCTCGTGGAAAAGCAGCAGCCCAGCCCTCCCCAACACAGAAACGTTGATCCACACTTGTTATGGCCTGAGCGTCTCCCAGAGGGCAGTCCCTGTGTGCTGGGATCTTCCTGGCTCCGAGGAGACAGATGCCAGGCGGTTGACAGAGCCTCGCCTGCCCCAAGGAGGGAAGGGGTGGCAGGGGGGCCTCGCTCCCCTGCGCTAGGCAGGGCTGCTGGGGAAGGCCACAGCCTGCTCCCTGCTTTTGACCAGCCAGGCTGCCCCCAGAACCGGGGGTTGTGGTTGCTCCTGGGGCCTCCAGGTGGCACAGCCGGCCCACTAGCCCAGCAGGAGCGTGAGCTGCAAAGTTGTGCAAGTGAAGAGGAGGAGGGGCGGCGGGCAGCCTGTAGCGCTTACCAAGAGCGCTGAGGTGAGGCTGCGTCTTCCCTGGCCAGGTTCCCGTGGCCCACTGCTTCGGCCCCCGGGGGCTCCACAAGCGCAAGTTCTGTGCTGTCTGCCGCAAAGTCCTGGAGGCGCCTGCACTCCACTGCGAAGGTACCTGGAGCCTGCCTGGCTCCCCTTGCCCCACTCGGTGTCCTGGTCTCTGATGCCCAGGGTGGCCCAGCCCACCCCCTGCTGCAGCTTGTCAGGGGTGATTGGGGGAAGCCGAGGACTGGCCACCCGGCAGGCCACAAGACAGTTAAAGGATGCGGGGTGCTAGGTGGTAGGGATGGGGCCAGACCCAAGCGCCAGCAGAGGCAGGGGTCCTCCGGGGCACGGCAGACACCTCTAACCCTGCCTGCCCCCAACCCTGCCTGCCCCGCAGTGTGTGAGCTGCACCTCCACCCAGACTGTGTGCCCTTCGCCTGCAGTGACTGCCGCCAGTGCCACCAGGATGGGCACCAGGATCACGTGAGTGCACCAGCCCCAGGGAGCCCTGGGGGGTGGGGCGGGCCCAGCTGCTGACTGCCCCGCTCTGCAGGACACCCATCACCACCACTGGCGGGAGGGGAACCTGCCCTCAGGAGCGCGCTGCGAGGTCTGCAGGAAGACGTGCGGCTCCTCTGACGTGCTGGCCGGAGTGCGCTGCGAGTGGTGCGGGGTCCAGGTGGGCGCTGGGAGGTGGTGGGGGTGGGGCAGGAGAGGTGCGGGGTCGGGCGGGTGCTGGGAGGTGGAGGAGTTGGGGGAGCAGGGCAGGAGAGGCACGGGGTCCAGGTGGGCGCTGGAGGGTGGAGGGGGCGGGGCAGGAAAAGCACGGGGTCCAGGGGAGCGCTGGGAGGTGGAGGGGGCAGGGCAGGAGAGGCGTGGGGTCCAGGTGGGCGCTCGGGGGCTGGAGGCAGGAAAGACACGGGGTCCAGGCTAGGTCTGCGACGTGTGGGGTCTTTCCCTGGACCCAGCGCACCTGGTGTCCCCGTCCCCGGCTCTGATCCCCCAGCTCAGGCCCTTGTCCCCCCAGGCGCACTCCGTCTGCTCCGCGGTGCTGGCTCCCGAGTGCGGCTTCGGGCGTCTGCGCTCCCTGGTCCTGCCCCCGGCATGCGTGCGCCTCCTGCCCGGTGGCTTCAGCAAGACGCAGAGCTTCCGCATCGCGGAGGCGGTGGAGCCGGGTGAGGTGCGGGCCGGCCGGGGCGCCCTGGGCTGGGGGCTGCGCACTGAGTGAGGGGTCCGTGTCCCCGACCCGCAGGCGAGGGAGGCGATGGCGCGGACGGGAGCGCTGCCGTGGGTCCAGGCAGAGAGACACCGGCGACTCCGGAGTCCGGTAAGTGCCCTCCTCCTTCCCCGCAACTCTCCTGACATCCCCGGGCGCTCTGGACTCATGGAACTTCCCCGGCCCAGGGAAGCAAACGCTGAAAATCTTTGATGGTGACGACGCGGTGAGGAGAAGCCAGTTCCGCCTCATCACGGTGTCCCGCCTGGCCAGTGCCGAGGAGGTGCTGGTAAGGGGGAGCTCGGGGCAGGTGTCTGAGCCCCACCTCCCACTGCATGTCCCCGCACCTGGCGCCCCCGACCTGGCTCCCCCAACCTGGTCCCCCTCACCCACCTGCCCCCGCCCCGCGACCTGCCCCCCACTGAACCGTGCCTGACCCCCCACAACTTGGCCTCCCCAACCTGGTGCCCTGCAGGAGGCCGCGCTTCGGGTCCACCACATCCCCGAGGACCCTGGCCACCTGGAGCTGTGCCCGCTGCCCCCTTCCTTGAAGGCCTGTGACACCTGGGCTGGGGGCAAGGCTGGGAGTGCTGTGATTTCGGAGGAGGGCAGAAGCCCTGGGTCTGGCGAGGCCACACCAGAGGCCTGGGTCATCCGGGCTCTGCCGCGGGCCCAGGAGGTCCTGAAGATCTACCCTGGCTGGCTCAAGTGAGATTGGGCCCGAGGCTCAGGGTCTGCTGGGCGGGGTGGGGGGAGCTCCAGCTCAGGCTGCGTCCTCACAGGGTGGGCGTGGCCTATGTATCCGTGCGAGTGACCCCGAAGAGCACGGCCCGCTCCGTGGTGCTGGAGGTCCTGCCACTGCTCGGCCGCCAGGTGTGTACCCTGAGCCTGCTCCCCATCCTGGCCAGACTTGGTTGGGGGTCACTGTCCCAAGGAGGCCAGGCCACCATCCCAGCCCAGGTGTGGCTGTCCCCGTCGGTGTCCTGAGGTGGTGGGGGCCTGCCCAGACCTGATGCCAAGCTCTGCCCCAACAGGCCGAGGGTCCTGAGAGCTTCCAGCTGGTGGAGGTGGCGATGGGCTGCAGGCAGGGTGAGTAGATGGCCCGTGCTGGGTGTGGCAGTCCCTGCACCTTTTGGGTTTGGGCCTGCTGCCCAGGCTCTCCTGCAGGGTGGTGCCGGACATCAAGACCGGGCCCTGTCCTCCTGACCAGTTCCACCCTGCATCCCCATGGGCCCTGGGGGCTCAGGGCAGCTGTTTCCAAGGTGGGCAAGGAGCCTGGTGCTGACGGCCTGTGTCTCTCACCTCTGCAGTCCAGCGGACAGCGCTGATGGACGAACAGCCGTTGCTGGACCGGCTACAGGACATCCGGCAGGTCAGTGGGTGTGGACGCTGGCCCCCAGGGAACCGGCAGCTCTCAGCCACAGCCTCTGCCCCACAGGGTGGGTGTGCCCCAGACGCCAGGTTCTTCTTGGCTAGGCAGCGGCTGTCCTGGCTGGCAGGGCAGTGCCCTCTGTCATAAGTTACTTGGTCCCTGCAGGGATGCCTTGAGCTGCAGACCTCTCCGAGTTCCTTGAGGGGAATGGACAGGGGTTATCCACAGCAAGGAAGCCTCTTTGGCCCCTTTGCGCGTTTTCATGTTGACTTAATTCCTGGGAGTGTTCCTGACACCCCGTTTTGCTGTTTTGCGGGTGAGGAGGTAGAGGGCCTGGTGCGGTGGTGCCGTTCTCCCCGGCCCAGCGTCCCCGCCCCTCTCCCTGCAGATGTCCGTGCGACAGGTGAGCCAGACGCGGTTCTACGTGGCAGAGAGCGGGGATGTAGCCCCGCACGTCTCCCTGTTTGTTGGCGGCCTGCCTCCCGGCCTGTCCCCCGAGGAGTACAGCAGCCTGCTGCATGAGGCCGTGGCTACCAAAGGTGTGACCACCGTGGCTGGCCGTGGGCTGCTGGCTGGGGGCAGGGTCCGGCGGCAGGCAGTGGGGCTGCAGTGCTGAGGCCAGCTCCTGCCTCTCCTTGAGCCACCGAGGCCCAAGCTCCAGGTCCAGCCCACGTCCCTTCCTCCAAGAGGCTGTGTAGCCTCCTGCCCTCTGTGGCCCTTCCCTGTGGTGCTCAGCCTCTGCCTCTCCCTCTCCCTCTGGGGGGCCCTGGACCTCCGGGGAGCTGGGAGTCCTGCTCTTAGAGTGGGGCAGGGGTGCTTTCTGGGGAGGCTGCCCTTGGGGTGAGACGTCACCCCTGAACAGGCGGAGGGGCTGTCCCTGGCCCCCGTGTGGTACGTCCTTCACCTCCCACCGCCCTGACTACAGCCCGCCTTTGCAGCCACCGTGGTGTCTGTGAGTCACGTCTACTCCTCCCAAGGTGAGCTGCCCTGATGGACGTGGTCACCTGGGGCCCAGGGGTGTTCCTGGGGTGAAGTGGGACAGCTCTGGCCCTCACGTAGCACCTGACCTTTCCCTTGGGCAGCTCTGGGCTGGGGAAACCCTGGTTTGCTTCCTGCCCTGGCACCGTGGGGGCTACGGGACAGGCTCCCCTGAGTCCCGGGCCCCTACCACAGGCGCAGTAGTGCTGGATGTCACCTGCTTTTCGGAGGCCGAGCGGCTGTACGTGCTGCTCAAGGACATGGCTGTGCGGGGCCGGCTGCTCACTGCACTGGTGCTCCCCGACCTGCTGGTGAGTGAGCGGTGGAGCCGGCTCTTCACACACCCTGGGGGTGGCGAGAGGGAGGTCCGGGTCTTCAGGTGCACAGGCCCCACAGCCAGACTCGCTCTTTTCCTCTGGCATCTCTTCATCGAATTCACTGGGGGCTCGTAGGTGCCACTTTGTCTGTGCCTCACAACAGCAGGGAGGACGCTGTTGCCCGTTTTACAGCAAAGGGCCTGAGGCCAGAGGGTCAGCGCTCATCCGAGGCTGCCCAGTGGGTGATACCAGCTCCGTGGGGCACCGCGGGGCCAGGCCCAGCTTCCACGCTGCACCTGAGGCCTCCACCCAGGTAGGGAGGCAGCTCCTGGATGCGCTGGGTCCCGCTGCGGCTGCCTCACCAAGGGCCAGAGCGTGTTTGTGACCAGCTGTCAGCATCCCAGGCACGGCCCTCCCGGTACAGCCTCAGCCCCACTCCCCCTGCCCAGGAGGATGTAGGGCCTCTGCTCTCTGCCTGGAGCTCCCCAGGCCAGTCAGTGCAGCTCCCAAACTTTGGACGCTGTCCTTAAGACCCACAGTGCCCAGAAGAGGGGGCACCTGGCAACAGGGTAGGGCTGGGGGAAAGGGGGATCCAGCCCATGGAGACGGGGCAGGGCCGGGCGAAAGGGGGGTCTGGCCCATGGAGACGGGGCAGGGCCGGGGAAAGGGGGGTCTGGCCCATGGAGACGGGGCAGGGCCGGGGAAAGGGGGGTCTGGCCCATGGAGACGGGGCAGGGCCGGGGAAATGGGGGTCTGGCCCATGGAGACGGGGCAGGGCCGGGGAAATGGGGGTCTGGCCCATGGAGGGACTCCACGCTGCACACCGTGCCTTCATAGTGGCCTCTCGTTCTCTGCCCATCCAGCCCCCAAAGGGTCCCACGAGGACCCCCAGGTGTCTATGGCTGCTCTGCCCCTGAACCCTGACCCTTGACCCTGACCCCAGTCTAGACGAAACAGAACTTGATCTGAATGAGTTGTCTGTGGCTGGGACGGGTGATGCCTGTGGGTCCCTCCTGTGTCCCTACACCTGGCCTTGCCTGGCTCAGGACAGGGTGGCCATCCCCACGGTCCCGAAGATGCAGCCCCTGCCCCAGCCCCACTCGCTCTGTGGGCAGAGCCAGGTGTGGGGCCGACACGTGCTTTCTCTCTCCCGTCAGCTGCCTGCCCTGGGGTGAGTGGTAAGTGGTGACCGCAGGCGGCTGTGCCTGCCAAGTGGGTCACGAAGCCCCGAGTGTGTCCTTGCCCCCAGCCACGGCTGGCCCCTGTGCCGCCGCCCACCCTGTGTCTGCACCCGGCCTGTGTGTCTCCTGTTGCCCAGCCGTCCCCGCTGTGGGGGCTCCAGCCTCCTGTTATAGGGACCCCAGCCCTGAGCCCGCTGTGTCTAGATCCCTGGGTACTGTTTCTTGGGGTTGTGTGTGGGGAGATGGGCTCTGTCCTGTGACTGAAGGACTCCGTGTGCCGCTCTGTGAGTTAAGAGCTTTTCTCGGCTGCTGTGTAGGTGGGTGGGGGCCTGGGAGCCGCCATCCTCCAAAGGTGTGCACAGGAGGTCCCCCAGGAGACAAGCCTTGGTCTCGCAGGCAAGGAGTGCCAGGCAGAGTCCCATGTGGATTTCCAGCCTGGACTCACAGGCTGCATGGCCCAGGCAGGTGTGGTCTGTTCACACTCAGCTCAGTGGGCATGTCCGAGGCCTTTGTGCTGGGAGCACCAGGCAGCCAGCCGGCTGGCCTCAGTGCCACCCTGCTGGCCAGCAGCGAGATGGGGTGACCACGCAGCTGATGTGTGATGCTTTTCTTCCTGGGGAGGGGGCTGGTCCAGGCCAGGTGGGCTCAGGGTTGGGGGCTGGGCACTGCCTGGCAGCCCCAGCAGTGGGGACACCCTACCTTGGGTCCCCATCCTAACCCAGCCCCCTGTCTGTCAGCACGCGAAACTGCCCCCAGACAGCTGTCCCCTCCTTGTGTTCGTGAACCCCAAGAGTGGAGGCCTCAAGGGCCGAGACCTGCTCTGCAGCTTCCGGAAGCTACTGAACCCTCACCAGGTCTTCGACCTGACCAACGGGGGTCCCCTTCCTGGGTGAGTCCAGCAGGACCCCTGGTCCAGGGCAGCAGTAGGGGCAGGAGGGGTGGGAGGGGCCCCAGGAGGCTGCCACAGCTGTCTCGGCTGGCAGGAGCTCCACTGGGATCCCGTGCTGGGACCTTGAAGTCCTCCACACGGCCAGGACGGGCATTTGCAAAGGAAGGGGCAGCCTGGGTGGGGGATGGGCTGCGCCCACAGCTGCTGGAGAACACTTCCCGTCTCCTGCTAGGCTCCACCTGTTCTCCCAGGTGCCCTGCTTCCGGGTGCTGGTGTGCGGTGGCGACGGCACTGTGGGCTGGGTGCTCGGCGCCCTGGAGGAGACGCGGTACCGACTGGCCTGCCCGGAGCCTTCTGTGGCCATCCTGCCCCTGGGCACAGGTGGGGTCAGCCATGCAGCCGAGGAGGGGGCCTCAGGGTCTACCCCTTCCTGCGCAGCTTTTGCTGAGGCCTGGGCTGGCGTCTGTCTCTGTGGTGGGGTCTGCACCTGGCTGATGGGCGGGTGGGTGTGGACAGATGCTCTGTGTCTGCCTGTGTCCCAGGGAATGACCTTGGCCGAGTCCTCCGCTGGGGGGCAGGCTACAGCGGCGAGGACCCGCTCTCCGTGCTGCTGTCCGTGGATGAGGCCGACGCCGTGCTCATGGACCGCTGGACCATCCTGCTGGACGCCCATGATACTGCCAGTGCAGAGAATGGCACTGCAGACGCAGAGCCCCCCAAGGTACAGGGTGGCCCGCCGTGGGGTGCCCTTCAGGCTTCCGCATATGACCTGGTCACACGTGTTACAGTGGGCATCCTCCTCCCAGCCACACTCAGATGTATGCACCCACGTCATCCCCTTTGCAAAGTAGGCAGTTGAGGGAGGCACAGAGAGTGGCCACTGCTGGGAATTGTGCTGAGCCAGCTGGCGACAGAGCCTGGCCGGGACCTGCCCACGCTGCCCTCTCCTGGGTGGTGGGCTTGTTGCCGGGGTGGCCCTTGCTCTTGTCTCTTCCTGCCGGCAGGAGGCAAAAAACTAGACCTGCTGTTGGGGAGCTCAGGGGGGTCTGGTGAGGGCGGCCGGGTCCTGGGAGATGAACGCCCTGTCCCCAGATCGTGCAGATGAGTAACTACTGTGGCATTGGCATCGATGCGGAGCTGAGCCTGGACTTCCACCAGGCACGGGAAGAGGAGCCTGGCAAGTTCACAAGCAGGTACTGGAGCCGCAGGGACCGCCACCTGGTGACGGCATACCTTCCTCGGGTCCCCCAGCAGGGATAGGCAGAGGGGCTGCCACCTGGTGATGGCATACCTTCCTCGGGTCCCCCAACTGGGAGGGGCCGCCACCTGGTGATGGCATACCTTCCTCGGGTCCCCCAGCAGGGACAGGCAGAGGGGCCGGAACGCGGAGGCTGCCTAAGGCGGGGTAGTGCTCCCCCAGTGATGGGCGGCCCGCCCTGTCCTGCAGGCTGCACAACAAGGGTGTGTACGTGCGGGTGGGGCTGCAGAAGATCAGTCACTCTCGGAGCCTGCACAAGCAGATCCGGCTGCAGGTGGAGCGGCAGGAGGTGGAGCTGCCCAGTATCGAAGGCCTGATCTTCATCAACATTCCCAGGTGCTCACGGGCTCCCCAGAGGCTCTGCCAGGCGGGGCCACCGGCAGGCTCAGCCCTCGTCCCGCCTGCACCTACACCTCTGTGTCCGCTTTCTTATGCTGCAGCTGGGGTTCCGGGGCCGACCTGTGGGGCTCAGACAGCGACACCAGGTTTGAGAAGCCGCGCATGGATGATGGGCTGCTGGAGGTGGTGGGCGTGACGGGCGTCGTGCACATGGTGAGCCGCCGCCCGGGTGTGTGGGCGAGCCCAGGATGGTGTCCCTGGTCCCCACTGAGCCCAGCTGGCCTCTCCTGCCCCAGGGCCAGGTCCAGGGTGGGCTGCGCTCCGGGATCCGGATTGCCCAGGGTTCCTACTTCCGGGTCACACTCCTCAAGGCCACCCCGGTGCAGGTGGACGGGGAGCCCTGGGTCCAGGCCCCGGGGCACATGATCATCTCAGCTGCTGGCCCTAAGGTACGTGGGGTGAGGCTGGAGAACCAGGAGAGGTGGGCCAGGCTGGGCCGGTTGTGGGAGTGGCCGGTGGTACCTGGGTGGTGCTGGCATGGCCTGCTGCGGCCCTGGTCTTCCTTGACTCCGGGGAGGGTGCCTGCCTCAGAGGAAGGCTGTGCCAGCGGTCAGGCAGGCAACAGGTGGCACAGGGAGCAGCCAGGCAGGTCCCTCCCCTTCCGTGAAATGGGCTGAGATGGCGTCAGCTGCCCAGGGCCCAAGGACTTGGGGCTGCCCGTGCACTGTTCTTTCATCGGCCGTGTCACCCTGGCCCTCTGCCCCCTGCCCTGGGACAGGTCCACATGCTGAGGAAGGCCAAGCAGAAGCCGAGGAGAGCCGGGACCACCAGGGACGCCCGGGCGGATGCGCCTGCCCCTGAGGGCGATCCTAGGTAGGGGTGGCTGAGGCAGCCCAGGGGCTCGAGCCGTCTCTGCCTCCACCTCCGCCAGCCTTGTTTTCAGTTGGTCTAGAGGCAGCTCCACGTCCACACGGTGGCCGGCCTTGTGGTTGGACTTGGCTACAGCCCTGACCGCATCATCTTCCTGGGGCCAGAGCAGGACCAACCCTCATCCCACTGGAGACTGCTGTGTGGGTGGCAGTGTTTCCCCGTGTCCTGGGTGGGCACAGGGCTCTGGCGGGCAAGCCGTCTGCCCTGTGGGGGCCTGGTCCTCTCCTCAGGGGTGGGCACTCATCCCTCTATACCTCTCCCTGCCAAGCCCCTTGAGCTGGAGAGTGCTGGACGCTGGCCGTCCAGGTGGGTCTGACCTCGCTTTGTGTCCCTCAGGCCTTCCCCCTGGCCAGTCTTTCAGAGCAGCAGGCTCCCTGGTGTGTCCTTACCCCCAGCAGACACAGGCTGCCAGCCCCTCCAGCCTCCCCTCCCCGCCCCGGGCAGCAGGTGTGGGCAGTCCCTGGTGGGCAGCGTTGGGCTGCTGGGTGGTTGTGACTGGTGACTTCCTTGTGTTGCGGGAAGAGAGAAGGTGCCTTCCCTTGTTTTCTGGCCTTGTTATATACAGATGGCAGCTTGGACCCCAGGTACAGCTGCAGGGGCACAGTGCCCAGCTGGGCCTGGTGGCCCTTTCCTAGTGCCTGTGCTGGGGGAGGAGAGCCTCTGTCGTGTGGAGGCCAGGAGGTCTCAGGTGCTGCCCTGGCAGCACCAGAATGTGGGCCGGGCCCAAGTGTCTGCCCCTCGGCCCTCAGGGTGGGGCATTTAGCACCCAGAAGAGACCAAAAGCAGGACATGGCGGTGCGGAGGAGTTTGTGGAGGCGGAGACAGCTCCACGCATGTGGCGGAGGAGCTGGCTTTCAGCCCCAGACCCCACGCTAGCACTTTCCACGCTGCTTGCTCCCTGCTGACATGCAGTTCCCAGTGTCTGTGTGAGCCGACATCTGCTCAGTCCTATCCCTCGTCAGCATGTGGAGACCCAGCTCCTGCAGCGCCCCTGCTCCCACGTCCCCCAGACAGCTCGGTGGAGGGTCCTGCGTCTGGGCCAGGCTGGGGTGCACCCAGTCAAAAGACAAAGCTGCCTCCACGTGCCCAAGGATTCAGACGGTGCACTGGCCCCACGAGGAGTCTGACCAAAAATGGAGCCAGCCCTGTGGGAAGCCCTGACTCCCCCCACGAGAAACAGGCCCACGGTGAGGATATCCCCCTTCCCCTTGTGGGGCACAGCGGGCCTGGGCCTCCGATTCTGCGGAGCTTTCGGGGTGTGGCCTTGACCTCAGAAGTGGCTCTGGTTTGGCCTCAGAAGTGTGTGGCCTGGCCCAGCCTGCTGCAGCCTCCTGGGGGACCCTTGGTGCCACTAATCCTGACTCCCCCGCTTCTGCCAAAACTGCACAGACACATGCATTGTAAGGCCTGCTCACGGCCTCAAGTGTGCACTCTTGTTTACGTCGTCAAGACCAGTCCTTCATTTGTGATTAGTTTTGCTTCGCGAGCCCTGGTGTGGACTGTGGTGTGTATGAATCGTTAACTGTGGTGAGGGGCTTGTCCTGTATGTGAATGAGTCTGTACCCAGGTGAGCTCTGTGCCCTGTACACCAACCGGGCCCCTCTGTATTTATCGCTGCCTGAATGCAACAGTAATTTATATCTGGGACAAATACAGTTTGGGCGTCACTGTCCTGCCATCTCTTCCTCATCTTTGTGTCAACAACCTGGCATGGCATCCCCTGCCCCCGCCGCCAGCTCTGTATAGGCCTCGAAGGGGCTGGGAGTGGGCAGTCCCTCAGGTGGGTGGGCTTGGTAACGTGTCTTCAGGTTGGAGAGTGGATAGGCAAATGCCATAATGCACATTTCAAGTTCCTGTGAAACTCCTCTCTGCAAAAAGTGGAGAACAATTTGAGGACTGAAATAGAGCATATTTCACAATGAAAATAAAACCCGGCCACGCAAGAACCACTGTGGCTTGCCCGCGACTCGGCTTCCCCTGCCCGGCGTCCTGTCCTCCCTGGTCCATCTCTGGTGGGGACGGCAGGGAGCGCGCTCTGTGGCTGCTAGCAGGGGGCAGGGAGGAGCTGGGACTGTGGGTCCTCCTGGCACGTAGGGGCCGGTGGTGGGTGTTCAGGCCGGGCGATGCCGTGCAGGACCCGCAGGCTGGCCAGGGCCAGGCCCACGAGCAGGCGCAGCAACAGGAAGGCGCAGGGCACGGCGATCTGCATGAGGTGGAAGATGCCAACGCTGAACCTGCTCAGCAGGCAGGTGGAGGTGAAGGCCAGCAGGCTGGCGCAGGGGTACAGGGCCAGCTTCGCGAACATGAGCGCGTGCTCCCGGCCGCCAAACCACACCGAGGGCTGCAGCGTCTCCGCCTGGTGCAGCAGCGCCGTGGTCCAGATGGCAAACTGGAAGATGCTGGCCAGGAAGATGATGGCGCAGCTGACGCGCACACGCTCCAGCTCGTCACGGGGCTGCCGGGCGAAGGCCGAGGTCTGCTGGTAGGCCAGCGGGAGGCCGCCCACAAAGGCCAGCGAGAGCGTGTTCAGCAGCCCCATGGCCCGTGTGGCCTTGCGCACGTGCAGGAAGAGGGAGTGGTGGGCGAACCACAGCAGCCCCACCGTGGCGAAGGAGCCAAAGTACGCCAGGAAGCGCGGCCCGGTCGCGCTCAGGGCAGCCACGAGGCTGCCGCCGAACCTCTCCTTCACTTCCTTGGGGTCCGGGACGTTGTCTTCGCTGAGAACAGTGAACAGAGGCATTTGTGCCGGCCTCACCGTGGCCCACGCAGGCCCCGGCGGGGTGGGCTGAGCGCCTGTCAGGGCTGCCTGGACCCAGCACATGGTGCAGATGAACCATGTGGACTTTGCAGTGGGCGAAATTTCAGAACGCTGTATTTACGTATATTTGGCACGCTGACCATTATGTGCTGTCCATCTGCAGTTCCACAGAAACTGGCACCCTTCTGCTCTGTGCTAATGGGAGCCCAGTCCTGCTGGCCCGGAGTGCTGCTGGGGGCCCTGGGCTGCAGCCCTCTCTGGCCGAGGCTCTCCTGCGTCTGCTGTGCAGGAGCAGCCTGCCGTGGGGCAGCGAGGTCTGTTCCCTCCCAGCTTCCAGCCCTCGGAGCCACCCACACCACACCCTGGCTGAAGATCCATGGAGAGCTTGCCTCCATGGTTCTCAGATGCACACAGGGTCTCAGGAGGCCGACTCCCAGGCCGGACTCTGCAGCCCCAAGGAGGCTGTGGGAACCACCCCGGTCAGGGCTGCTGCCTTCTGACGGCACCACCCAGAAAGCCGGGAACAGTGTCATCTTTCAACATCAGGACATGGAGGACAGTGGTCCTCAAGCAGCCCTGACCAGACTTCTGTCCTCCAGAACGATAGGCAGAGGTCAAGGGGGTGAGGGACAGGGGGTGGGAAAGGAGACAGACCAGGGCAGCAAGGGAAGGAAGTTGCTGGGAGGGGGCAGCTCCCCTGGCTGTGGCTCCAGGTGGAGGAGAGGTCACTGTCCCAGCCCTACACTGCAGCCTCTCCTTGGCAGGTCCCTCCCAAGGGGGCCTGAGCTGGCCTGGCACAAGCAGGCAGGTCACCCTGGAGTGTCCCTGGCACCTGGGCCTTAGAGATCAGGTGCCAACGAATGCTTCCCATTCTTAAAAATGCACACGACAGCAGAGAAGAGCATCAGGAGGCTTGGACTCAAGAATATCAAGTACAGAATATAAAACCATAGTGTCTGACCCCAAGGAGATCAAAGTGCTGAACTATGACGGGAGAACAAGACACTCCAAAAGAATGTTAAAAAAGCAAATTCAAACATTACGACAGCCAGGCGCGATGGCTCACGCCTGTCATCCCAGCACTTTGGAGGCTGAGATGGGTGGATCACCTGAGGTCAGGAGTTAAAGACCAGCCTGGCCAACATGGTGAAACCCCGTCTCTACTAAAAACACAAAAAGTTAACTGGGCATGGTGGTGGGCGCCTGTAATTCCAGCTACTTGGGAGGCTGAGGCGGGAGAACCGCTTGAACCTGGGAGGCAGAGGTTGCAGTGAGCTGAGGTTGAGCCACTACACTCCAGCCTGGGTGACAGAGCAAGACTGTAAAAACAAAAAACAAAACAAAACAAAAAACCCACAAAAAACAACAACGTGACGACTAAGATAAGCACTCTAAGAGATGAAGTGGTGGTGAGGCAGTGGAGGACAGATGCTGGAAGGAAGCAACAGCAGGCCGAGGGGAGCGGGAGGAGCTGGGAGGCAATGTGGGGGACTGGGAGGCGATGGCGGGGGCTGGGAGGTGATGGGGGGGACTGGGAGGGAGCAGGAAGGAATAGGAGGGACTAGGGACCAGGAGGGGCTGGTGCTGGGGCAGGGGTAAGGCCTGGGGTAGGGTGATACCCATGGATGTGAGCCCCTCTGGAAAGAGTGAGGAGAGCAGTTGGCGGCTGGTGCTAACCTCGCCCTGGCACCCCATCGCCGGCCTGCACTTGGGGTGGGAGCCACTGGGAAGGAAGGGACCACTGGGGGGGTTGTCCTCACTGAAGCGGGGGCTGCCCTGACCTCACACAAAACTCCAGGCATCCAAGGGAGGGTGGAGCCGAGACCCCTGTGCCTTTCTGGGGTTTCCAGGACTCAGACACACTGGCCGCCTGACAGCTGGGGCAGGTGGCGCGGGGTCCTCACCAGATGTCCAGGATGAGAAGGGTGGCCACGATGGCATAGACGCCGTCGCTGAAGGCTTCCACCCGCTCCTTGCTGAGTGGCTCGTGGAGGTCAAATGTGAAGACTTCCACTGGGTGAGCCGAGGGCTCCCTATGGCCTGTGGACACGCCAGGAGCGGGGAGCTGGCCAAGCCCCCCAAGTGGAGCCAGAGCCCGCATGGCTGTCACTGCCCTCATCTCTGAAGAGGCCTGGAACATGCAGGCCAGGAGAGGAGACAGGACAGGGATGCTCCGAGAGGCAGTGTGGGAGCCCCAGCCACCACCACGCACGGGCCTCGGCCCACGGACAGCCCTTGGTGTGGGGCAGCCACACGGAGAGGGGCACACTGTGGGCCTCGCAGGCCCGCCCACCCAGCCATCACCCAGCCACACGGAGCGGGGCACACTGTGGGCCTCGCAGGCCCGCCCACGCAGCCATCACCTACCCAGGAGCCTGTCTCTGCACCAGCCGGTGACCTTGCTGACGTAAGGGAGGAGGATGACAGTCACCATCAGCAGGTAAGACTGCAGGGAGACAAACCACAGGTCAGTGCCTTCCACAGGGGGCCGAGGCCAGGCCTCATCCACACAGAGCTGTGTGCCAAAGCAGGGCAGTGCCCTCCACGGGGGGCCGAGGCCAGGCCTCATCCACACAGAGCTGTGCGCCAAAGCAGGGCAGTGGCAGAAGGCAGGGTCTTTGCAGATCATGTGTCTGATAAGGCCTAGTACCCAAAAAGTGTAAAGAATTCTTAAGCCAGCAGTGGCTCATGCCTGGAATCCCAGCACTTTAGGAGGCTGAGGCAGGTGGATCGCTTGAGCTCAATCGATCGAGACCAGCCTGGGCAACACAGTAAGACTGTATCTCTACGAAACATAAAAAATTATCCATGGCCGGGCGCGGTGGCTCAAGCCTGTAATCCCAGCACTTTGGGAGGCCGAGACGGGCGGATCACAAGGTCAGGAGATCGAGACCATCCTGGCTAACACGGCGAAACCCCGTCTCTACTAAAAACACAAAAAATTAGCCGGGCGAGGTGGCGGCGCCTGTGGTCCCAGCTACTCGGGAGGCTGAGGCAGGAGAATGGCGGGAACCCGGGAGGCAGAGCTTGCAGTGAGCTGAGATCTGGCCACTGCACTCCAGCCTGGGCGACAGAGCGAGACTCCGTCTCAAAAAAAAAAAAAAAAAAAATGATCCAGGCATGACTGTGCGCCTGTTGAACCTGGGAGGTAGGGGTTGCAGTGAGTGGTGATCCAGCTCACTGTACTCCAGCCTGGGTAACAGAGCAAGACCGTGTCTTAAAAATGTATCGTCTATCTACCTATCTGAAATTCTCACAACAATAAAAAGATGACCCAATTAAAAACGGGCAAAGGATGAGAAGAGACATTTCTCCAAACAAAACATGCAAATGGTCAACCTGTCGCAGATCAAAACCACAATGAGATTCCTTCATATCCACTAGGATGGAGAGAAATGAAAAACGGCAGGTGTTGATGAGGATGTGGAGAAACTGGAAGCGCCGTGTGCTGCTGGTGGGAATGCAAAATGCTGCAGCTGCTGCATTTTGTTTGGTGGTTCCTCAAAAAATTAAAGTTTGGTGGTTCCTCAAAAAATTAAACTTAAAAAACTAAGCAGAGAATCACCAAATGACCCAGAAACTCACTGCTGGGCACATGTGCCAACAGCCTGAGAAGACAGATCTGAACAACAGCCTGAGAAGACAGATCTGAAGAGACACGTGTCCAGCTCAGAGAGGCACCACTCATGACAATGCCCACAGTGGCACCACTCACGACAGTGCTCACAGCGGTGTCACGGCAGCTACACGTGTCCAGCAACGGTCACAGCAGCATCACTCACAACAGCTGGAGGTGCACTTGCCCAGATCCCCGTCCACGGATGAGTGGGCCCACATGACGTGGCACGAGACTCACAATGGACTATTTTTGGGCCACAGAGAAGGAACGCGGTTCTGACACGGGTGACAACATG